CCCGCCCCCTGCCCACCTCTCCATTCCAGTCCCGTCTCGCGCTCAGGCCAAGCTCGGCCTACCCGCCTCGCACCCAGACACTCCCCTAACAAACGCCCTTTAGGGACGGTACCTCAGGCAGCCTCCCGGCTTCCGTCTCCTCCTCCCCCCGCCGCCCCCCTCACAGGCACTGCTATCGTGCCCGCACTTCCCCGCGTGCGCCGGACCCCGCCGGGCTTCTCAAGGACCCTCGCCCCCACCCGCGTGACAGTCAGACTGTCCTCGTCACTGCCTGAGAGAAAAACATTCCCTCCCCCGCCACTGAGGTGCCCGTCAGGCGACTAGTCCGCTCCGCCCACACCTCTTGCCGCAGTGCTTGATGGGAAAGCAGAGCACACAATAGTAAGCTGTTTGTGCTACTGCCTGACGGGAACGTAACAGCCCGCGCCAGACGCACTGCCTAATGGGAAAACAAGATGTTGGCCGCTCCCACAGCGAGAAAAACATTCCCTCCCCCGCCACTGAGGTGCCCGTCAGGCGACTAGTCCGCTCCGCCCACACCTCTTGCCGCAGTGCTTGATGGGAAAGCAGAGCACACAATAGTAAGCTGTTTGTGCTACTGCCTGACGGGAACGTAACAGCCCGCGCCAGACGCACTGCCTAATGGGAAAACAAGATGTTGGCCGCTCCCACAGCGACTGATGGGGAGTGGCGCTTGAGGGGAGCGGGTTCCTCGCGCCCTCCCCTTCCCCGGCTCGTGAAGCCATGGTGTCCAGCGGGGCCGGCGGGCAGGAGCCCTGCGCCCGCTGTCCCCCCACCCCCAATAGCTGCTGCGGGGCAGGGGCTAAGCCCTCGAGCTGCAGGCGCTGGAGAGGAGCAGAGCCAGGCTGCAGCTGTGCTGGTGACGCGCCTCAGAGGGGGAGCACTGTTGGTAACTTTAAAAACAGCTGGCAGTCTTGTGACAGGCTAGAGACAGCGATTTATTAGGTTATGAGCTTTCCTGGGTAAAATTCACTTCATCAGATGAGTTGGAGCGGATATAACAATCTAAGGCAGAGGTTGGCTACCAACGGCAAGCGAGTAGGGGAGCCCACACAGCCTCAAGCCTCAGTGGGGGGGGGGGGGAAGGTGAAGAAAGCCCCTACCAAACCTGGCTCCCCATTCGCATCTATCCCTGGTGTTCCGGAGAGCTTCACCAGCCCTGCGGACAGCACAGGGATCCTGCACAGAGCCAATCCTCCATCCCTTGGGGAAGGTAGGACCAGGGTGAGGAGGCAATGGAGGAATTGGGGACTGATGTGTGATGTTAGGCTCAGAGATGGTAGGATCTGGGGGCACACAGTAAAGTGTGACCCCTCCCCTTAGGCAAGACTGTGCAAGGAGCAGATCCCATGGACTCGTCAGAGCTTGCCCATGCCAGGGAGCAGAGCACTGACAGAGCATTATCCCTGGACCAACTGGGGAGAGTGAAGGCATGGCCTGCTCTCAGGGCAAGCTGCTTCTCTGCTCAGCCCTAGTGTCAATGCTGCACAGTCAGTTCCTGGCCATTTTGTAACCTATGAAGCATTCTGGAGAGTTCTGCTGTGGTGGGACACTGGGAGCCAATATTTCTGGCAGGGTAAATGAACTGAAGAGTCATGGGAGTGGGGAGCCCAGGAGCTGCTTCCCGGCCAGGAAGAAGCTAATCTCCCGTCCACCCTCACCAACCTTCCACTGAGGGAATGGCAGTGCAGTGACGCACTGACCAGAGACTTTCCCCACTGCAATGGGGCACAAAGCCAGGTAAGCAGGCTCCCTCATGCCCAGACCACATGCACCTTAATCCCACTCACTCACTTCCTTCCCCCTGCCGAGACCCCCCACCCCCAGCTTACTCCTACATCTTTCCTTGTACCCTCCCTCCTGGCCATGTTCTGCATCCTCTCTTGCTCCCTCCTCTCCCCTCGGCTAGACACCCTACCTCCCACCCAGACCTCGCATCCCATCCCTATCCCAGTTTCTTGCAGCCCAGTCCCACACACAGAACCCCTTATTTTGTTCTGACCTCAGAGCCTAAGGTAACTTCCGGAATCTTAAAGAAGTAAATCTGGCCTTCAGGAAGCCCTGAAACTCAGTCCTCCTTGCTCCTTCCCCTCACCTCATTGTGCTGGAGAACCAGAGAAGTGAGTTGTCATAATCGGTGGCCACATCAGGCAGGGTTTTTGGGGGGGTTTTATAGGCTTTTTTGCTTCTTGTGTGTGGTCCCCAACTGATTTTTCTGTGTCATTGACTCCCAACCCAAAAAAGGTTCCCCACCCCTGTCATAAATAAAGTAAACATGGGAACCTTTTCTGTTGGTCACAGATTAATATTTTACTTTATTTAAAATGATTGATAAAATAAGTTAAAATACTTAATCTATTTAATAATGTAAACCATTCTCCTTAGTTGCAGCACTAGCAAAATGGCTCAGGCATAATTATGTAATTAATGGTGAGTTTCCATTAGCAACTGGTGAGCCACAGATAAAATTGCATTGAGCCACGCGGTCTGCAGCCCAAACAGTTTGAGAACTCCCTGATACAAAGGAATGCTATATACCAGGGGTGTCCAAACTTTTTTCAAAGAGGGCCAGATTTGATGAAGTGAACATGCGTGAGGGCCGACCATTTTGCCTGACATTCTTTGAACCATTAAAATTAAATGCAAATTAACTATTTTATGCAAAGTTTATTGCAAACGGCATACTTTTCATTTCGTCACATGGATGACAAATCTAAACAGGTGTTAAATCACTCTGCCTTTCATATCTGAAGGCCAGATGAAAAAAAAATCCAGGAAGCTGAAATATATGTCAGGAACATTGTAAAGTACATTACATATTATTGGTAATAAAGGTTGTCTGTCAACTTTTAAGTTCAAAAAATATGAACAGGAACATAACACCAAGTATACATGTTGTGTCCAAATATATTTATAACTGATTTAGACCAACTGACATTAACTGAGATTTTACAATGTATTCATCTCAATACATATGGATTCGCTGGGGGCCATAAAAGATAGATATTGCCAAATTACCTGTGGGGCCGTATTAAACCGGAACACGGGCCGCAATTGGCCCGCGGGCCGGACTTCGGACATGCCTGCGCTATGCTATAGGATGAGTGCTACCCCAGCTGTAGCTCTGGGGCTGGATAGTGGTGGGAGCAGCTCAGGGGAGAGGAAAACCTATAGGATGAGTGCTGCCCCAGCTGTAGCTCTGGGGCTGGATAGTGGTGGGAGCAGCTAAGGGGAGAGGAAAACACGAGGGTTCCCCTGCCCCAAAGCTGCAGTGGCCCCATGGCACCTGAATCCCTGGCAAGAAGGTGAGGGTGCCCCAGAGTCACCCCCTCCCCCCAACCCCTGAGCCACCCTGAACCCAGCCCATACTGGCAAGCCAGCATCAGATTCCTGTGGAGGATTAAGCCCTGAGGCTCAATGTCACACATGGCTTACAAGGAAGCACATGGATGCTGCTCTTCCCCTCCCCCCAGGAAAAGCTGGAGCAGAGCTCAAGGCAGGAGACTAAGTGGAGCACACTATTTAAAAGGCTGAAACAGCACAGAGGACCCAGTATGAGCCAGGACAGCTGATTCCCAGCTTGGGCCAGATCCCTCCCACTGCAAACCAGTCTTTTAAATGTATTAAGAACTAACATGCTCTTAATACACTTAAAAGGTTAAAATACAGTTGTGGGGGGGGGGGGGGGGCTGTCCTAGTTCCCCCACCGGGTTCTGCTCTGCTGCGCTTCAACCTTTTAAATGCATGAAGAACCTGCCAGCTCTTAAGATATTTAAAAGAGAGTGGCAGAAGGGTTTGCTCCCAGGGCAGGAGCCAACCCCACTGCAGCTCCCCAGCTTATTGACTAATTAACTAATAAATGAAAAATTAGTTTATTAAACTAAATTTAGCATCCCTAATTTCCACTCCAACTTATCCAGTGAAACAGGTTTTACCCACAAAATCTCATGACCTAATACATTTGTTAGTCTCTAAGGTACCAAAACAGGATTGCTCGTTGTTCTCTTGTGATTAGTCGACTTTGAGCAGCCAAGCTAGATCAAACCAATGGACCATCGTCCCCTGAAAATGCATCCCTGACCATTCTGCCAAACAACCATTTATAGACCTAATTCTTTTTTGAACTTAGCCTTTTGGACTTCACTCATCACCTCACAACAAATTCCACAGGCTGACTTGGCATTATGTGAAACAGTACTTCCTTTTTTTTTAAAGCCAGTTATGTATTCATTTCATTGGGTGACATTGGTTCTTGTGCTACGAGTAAATACCTCTTCCTTATTCACTATATAAGTCATGGTTTTTATAGACCTATCATAGTCCCCCTTTGTCATCTCTTTTCTAAAGTGAATGTTTTTTAATATCTGTGGTAAGGATATTAAGGACTAGTTAACTATCGGATAAGATAGGCAGAAAAGGGGGTACTTCAAGGGGCCGTGCTGCACAGCTGAGTTGCAAGGAGACCGGGATCAGTTGAGGAGGCCTCTGCTGACCCCAGCTCTGCATGGCATTTCAAATCTGCTGACGCCAAGCTCCCTGCTGTGCTGCAGATTTGAAATACACAAGAGCCCCCACTGGGGACTCTTGTACATTTCAAAGCTGGCATACTACATGCAGCCCAGAGTCAGCGGGACTTCCCGCTGGCCCCAGGTTGCATGTGGAGTTTCACATTCCTCCTTTGAAATGTACAAGAGCCCCAGCATTGCTAATCATGATCTAAGCCAAAAGGCTGAAAGCAAATAGTTGATGGAAATTGCATCAGCTACTCAATTAACTGATATTTAACATCCTTACTCTATAGACATACTCTCATATCCTTAATATTTTATAGCCCTTTTCTGTACCTTTTCCAATTATATCTTTTTTGAAATGGTTCCAGAATTGCACAAGATATTGAAGATGTGCGCATACCATATGATTAGATTAATTCCTTCTCTTAAGATCTAGCCAAGCCCTCTTCGGCCACAGGGGTTTTCCTGCTAGGTGCAAGTTGATTTGAACAAGTGTTTGTTTATTGTGCAGAATATGCCTGGAACTGCCCTTCCGGAAGCTGTCTTGTACAGTAACACTGCAGCATGGCTGTATCACACTTTAAAGAGTGAAAGTATCAGCGTAAGAATAAAGAACTTATTAAAAATCCTTTGAAAGTTTTTTCTAGTTTAATGCTGAAGATTTGTCACTTATTCAGTTGATAAAATTTGGTTAATAGAAATGTAGTCCAGTTCATGCTCATGTTTAGCTAACAGTACAAGAGTCACTGCTATTGCAGCTAGATCACAGAACTTAGGAATCAGTGACACCACAAAGGTTATACAGATAAATTAAAAATAAGACCAAAGATACTACACTATTCCCTTTAAAAATGAGATGATAGGTGCAGGAGATCTCTATTTCAGTAAAATAATTATAAAAAAGTATTTTTCATTCACTACACTTAGTACATTCAGAATCTGATCATGGCCACTTCTTTTACTACCTTTTGAAGCCCTACTCTTCTTCAGTGTCAGTTCCAACTATATATTTGAGCTAGATAAAGCAGCAAATGTAAACAATCTGTCTGTGTCAGCAGGCAAGTTTTTCTGCAAAAGCAATTGCTTTTGCGGAAAAACTTGCCAGCTGTCTACACTGGCCACTTGAATTTCCGCAAGAACACTGCACATCTCATCT